ATGCTGCGACCAATACGGATGTGTGTGTGTGTCTCTGTGTGTCTGTATATATATATATATGGAGTCATCCGCAGACAGACTGTTTCGCTATATCACAGCTCATCTTTGTGGCTAGACATCTGATCGCTTTATGCCTGAACCAAAACTCGACCAGTTTGGTATCAGCCTGAGATTCTAACCCCTCGGCCATCAAAGCCCGGTAGAGAGAAGTGAATTTTTGCTTATTTATTTTCTCATAAACACACCAGACATTCACAGAACTCAATCTCTAGGACACACACACACACACACACACACACACACACACACACACACACACACACACACACATATATATATATATATATAAAGAATTAACGAATTTTATTTTTTAATCGAATATATATTTATTATTCCAAGAGTTATTGTTATTATCCGTATTTGGTGTAGATTGTTTGTTGTATCGGCCTGCGTACTCGAGAACACATAATGTAAGGTTCTTAACTTTATCCACCTTTGCAGTGGGTGGGGACCACCATTTGATCTGAAATGTTATGGACCCTCGGACACAAATTTAAAACATATTAACGCGTTCAGATTTCCACAAACGTCATATCACGCTTAGTTTCTTATCCGAAACGAAAAAAAAGCGATTTTCTAAATAATTAATAGATTTTATTTTTTTAAGTACGCAAAAATTCGCTTATCATTCATCCGTGTGCCGATGACTCAGGGGACAAATCACCGACTGTTTCCGAATCAGTCGGGTTTCGATCCCAGCTTGAATCACTCGGATGTGTAGCCACACTGATGACCTGTGATACAGCGAAACTGGCTGTCTGTAGATGATAATATATATTAACTCTACTGTTTATTTTTAATTTCAGTTTCCTCAGGTTTATTGGAAGTAATTTCAAATAACTCAAGTTGACGTGATATGAAGGGTCAAACTGGTTTTCTTAAAACACCCTTCAACATACAGCCCCTATGGTTATTTAGTGTTGACTGCTTCTGATTTATTACAACAGCCTTCAGAATTTGGTGTTTTAATGTTGTTTGTTGTTAGTCTTAGAGGTACCATCTCCTAAAGGACGTAAATATTCAACAACCTTATTTTTTAAATAGTTTAGATTTTTGTGTTGATAAATCATTTCTAAGGATTACACCCTGTTTGATGTTATTAAGTGTCATGGGTCCTTATTACCGAATGAACTCTTCCTAACACTATGTATACTACGCCTCTCAAGAGAGAGGGTCGATTCAAGCCGAGCTTCTCGGCTTGACGGTCGAACTCTCTGCCTCTGAGCAGAGAGGAACTCGGACGAGGCTCCGCCGAAGGACAGAGTTTCGTTCGGGGAAGTTGACCAACCCGATCCCGTTTATACGGGTTCTACGGGCTTTTTTTGGCCGAGCCTATGGGCTCGGGAAACCCACATTAAACTCGGCTTTGTGCCACATGCAACCCTCGTGGGGGGGGGGGGTTAGATACCGAATCGAGTCGAACCGATAGTACTCCACTCCAAACCAGGCTGACAGTCATACTAACACCTTCCACATCTTGTATTATTATTTCGGGTAATATACCTTCGTTATTTCTACTCTTGTGTTCGTGTTGTTCTTCCTTGGTCTTAACCTGGACCATAACATTAAGAAAATCATATAAGCTTCAATATTTCAAATTTGTGTTTGAAAAAAAATCATCAAATTTTAAACAATCAATTTACATGTCAAAACAAAACCAGAGTTAAAATTTTAGGTAGTATCTTATATGTTTAATTGAAGTTATTTGATGTATTCTAAAAATCTGCCATCTGAAGTTATTATGCAACACCAAGTAATCACATTTTATTTCAATAAAAGTTAATAAAATCTAAAATATTTATCAACACCTAGAATAGAACATGTAAAAAACACATATAATTATTTGAATTTTTCACATTTTAATATAGTGACCATTCTTAATAACAGACAGTAATATATTATCACTTGATTTGGTTAATTGTTTTTTAATTCAGCAGGTTCAATTTCTGACATGATAGCTTTAATTGCTTCCTATGAATCTGTTTTGCTGTTATATTGTTTGCCACAGTCAAATATTGAAGCTTATATGAATTGCTTAATAACATCAAACAGGGTTAGATCTTTGAAATGATTTATCAACACAAAAATCTAAACTATGTAAAAAAAAATAATGTTATTGAATATTTACGTCCTCTAAGACTAGTCATATAATTTCATTTTCACAACTGACCATAGATTTTCGATCGGATTCAGATCAGGACAAAATGGTGGCCATTGTATTATCTTCTCTCCTGTAACTTTTTTATTTTCAAATAATTCTCGGGTAAGCCTAGATACGCGATAAGGAGTATTGTCCTGCATAAATGCACACTTCACTTTGAAACTGCGCGATTGGGACCACGCAAAGAATGTATTAAGCTGAAATCTTGACAACTGGTAGTCGTTATCATCCATAATAACATACTAAAATTTGAATCATTTGCAAAGGATAGAAAAAGAATTAAACAATTATTTATTTATTTTCAAAATAGGATCGTCCAAAAGTAAGGGACAAAATTGTGAAAAACAATGTAAACAGTGTGTTATATTCAAATTTTTTGCTTTCCTCTAAAGAATAAGTCTTACTTAGTCATTTGTAAACGTTGCATCAGCCGGCACCATGGCGAAACGCCAAAAACTTGATTACTCTGTGAGACAAGCTATTGTGAAGCTACACAAGGAAAAGCACACCATTAGAGAGATTTCAGAGAAAGTGAAACGTTCCAAGAGTGTTGTAGGCAGGGTTGTTAAATCCTACAATGATACTGGCAAAATAGTTAGTGCTTTTAAAACCGGCAGACCCGGCAAAACTTCGGCAAGAGAAGATCGAATAATGCAGCGTATGTCATTAAAGGACCGTTTTAAGTCTTGCACAGAAATTAAAAGGGTTATGAATAGTACCTCATGTGTTAATGTGTCAAGACAGACTGTTTGTAGAAGACTGCAAGAAATAGGGCTGTTTAATCGAACCCCAGGGAAGAAACCACTTGTTAGTTCGAAGATTAAGAAGAAGAGATTAGAGTTTGCAAACAGGTATGTAATTTGGACATATGAAAATTAGGCAAAAGTATTTTTCAGTGATGAAAGCAAGTTTAATTTATTTGGAAATGATGGCAAAAACAATGTAAAGAGACGTATTGGTGAAAGATTAAGTGCAAAGTGTACTAAGAAAACTGTCAAGTTTGGGGGCGGAAGCGTCATGGTATTTGGAATGTTTTCTAGCCAAGGTACAACGCCTCTTGTCCGGTTACAAACTCGTGTAAACGCGCAGATCTATAAAAACATTGTTCAAGATCATGTTGTGCCAATCATACAGAATTCAGGTTTCGATAGGGCTACCTTCATGCAAGATAATGCCCCGTGTCACAAGGCAAAGGTGGTAATGAGTTACCTTAGCGAGCAAGATTTGGAAATTATGGATTGGCCACCGAAAAGTCCTGACTTAAATCAATAGAAAATCTTTGGAAGACCTTAGGAGTGAAAGTTATGGAAAGAAATCCCACTAACACGGAGGATTTGTGGGTGAAGCTTCAAGAAGAATGGTCTAAAATTAGTATCGAGGATTGTCAAGAACTGATTCGTTCTTGTAGTCGAAGATGTTCAGCTGTCATTGAGAGCAAGGGCTCATTTACTAAATATTGATTGTACATGTATTTTTATTGTTTTTTTGACGTTTACATTGTTTTTCTCAATTTTGTCCCTTACTTTTGGACGTTCCAAATTTGAAAATAAATAAATAATTGTTATAATTCTTTTCTATCCTTTGCAAATGATTCAAATTTTAGTATGTTATTATGGATGATAACGACTACCAGTTGTCAAAATTTCAGCTTTTCACAGTTGTTATTTCTAACAAATATTAGGTTTTAAAATTCTGTTCCTTAGTTTTGGACGCTACTGTATATATATATATATATATATATATATATATATATAGTTATTATATATATATATATAGTTAGTTAGTTAGTTAGTTAGTTACACGGATAGGTATAGGGATACATTGTTTATTTGTTTAGATGTGTGTATGTAATTGTATGGAGATGTAAGTTTTCATGTATATATGTTTATGTGCACATACGTGCATGTCCGCATGTATATATGTGTGTAAATGTGTATATATATATGTAGGAGTGGATGTGTATGGATGTATGTGTATATGTGTGTGTGTGTTTATGTATGTATATGTATACACATATATATATATGTATGTGTATATATATATATATATATATATATATATATATATATATATATATATATATATATATATATATATATATATATATATATATATATATATATATATATATATATATATATATATATGGTTATATGCGTGTGTATGCGTGTACACGCCTATATATATATATCATTTTTTAACAGTTTGATTGACCGGTTTCGGCAATATAAATTAACTTAACCATATTAATACCACCCATGCCATTTTCTTAGCGGATCTTCATTAAATGGTTAAAGTAACCTTAGCAGATACACTGACTTTTTATTCATGGATGATAATGTTTGTTTTTTTCAGATGTATTTGATTCTGTCAAGACCTTATTCGTAAAAAAAATCTTTAATTTCGACGTTGCTAAAAAAGGGCCAGTAATCAGGGGCATTATCTCCGAATCAAAATTAAGATCAGGTGACAAGTAACAAAAAGAAAGAAAGAAAGAAAGCAAGCAAGCAAGAAAGAAAGAAAGAAAGAAAGTAAGAAAGAAAAAAGAGAGAAGCAAATAGAGAAATAAAGAACGTAGGTGAGGAAGAGATCAAAAAAAAGAAAAAGAAAAAGAAAGAAACAGATTCCCAGAAAGAAGAAAAAAAGAATCAAGAAAGTGAAATCAAATTGAGAGAGAAATGATATCAGTGTAAAAACAAACCAACAAACCAACCAAAAACAAACAAATTAGAAATGAGAATAAAGAAAGACGAAGCATATCGTCATTTAAATTATGATCTCAAATGAGTAAGACATTAATAAATGTCCCGGATGAAAAAAGAAAGAATGAATGTAAAAATAGCAGTAGAGAGAAATAATGAAGTGATAAATGAAAAATTAACACAAATAGGAAGAAAAAACAAAAGAGGGATGGAAGAAGAAAATTAGTGGTGACGAAAAGAAATATATTAAAAAGAAATAAAGAAACAACTAGAGAGAGAGAGAGAGAGAGAGAGAGAAATAATAAAATTTGGTGAGATGAAAAGAATTGTCTTAGAAAGAAAGAAAGCAAGTAGTAAGTAGAGAGAGAGATAGAGAGAGAGAGAGAGAGAGAGAGAATGAAATCAATGGTGATAAAAATGAAATGTTTGAAAAACGAAAAAATAAAGAAAGAGACAACTAGAGAGATAGCAGAAAAATAAAATCAAGTAGAAAAAAAAATGTAAAAGAAAGAAAGAACGAACGAAAGCAAGCAAGAAAGACAGAAAGAAAAAAAAAGAAAGAAAGAAAGCAAAAAAGAAAGAAAGAAAGCAAGCAAAAAAGAAAGAAAGAAAGCAAAAAAGAAAGAAAGAAAGCAAGAAAGAAAGAAAGCAAGAAAGAAAAAAAGCAAGCAAGCAAAAAGAAAGCAAGCAAGCAAGAAAGAAAGAAAGAAAGCAAGAAAGAAAGAAATCAAGCAAGCAAGCAAGAAAGAAAGCAAGCAAGAAAGAAAGAAAGCAAGCAAGAAAGAAAGAAAGCAAGAAAGAAAGAAAGCAAGCAAGCAAGAAAGAAAGAAAGCAAGCAAGCAAGAAAAGAAAGAAAAGCAAGAAAGAAAGAAAGCAAGAAAGAAAGAAAGAAAGAAAGAAAGAAAGAAAGAAAGCAAGCAAGCAAGAAAGAAAGAAAGAAAGAAAGAAAAAATACCCGGATTAGCTATTGCGTGCATGTGCACGTGAGACAAATGGAAAGAGATAGAAACAGAGAGGAAACAATATTCACTGGTAGAATGCCAGGGATACCAGTGATCAAAAAAAAAAAAGAAGATAAATTTGTTTGGCTAGGTCATTTGCATACGAATCACGTGATCTATTTACGAGTCCTTCATTGGCATAAATTTTGATTTCATTAACCCGTCACTGTTTCAAAATTTAAGCTTTGTCAAACGCATGCACAGATGACTAAGTGCACATCATCTTACAGATAGACATCAAAAAAATGTTACGCAACTCCATGTGTGCGCAAAATCTATTAGTGTAGCATGTAGGTATTTAAAAATGTCATAATATGTCAGAATTTTCATTCGTTTTGCTTTCTTTTCTTTTTTTTTTTTCTCTCCTCTCTCTCTCTCTCGAATTCTCTCTGTCAAAGCAGCGACTAACGTACCCCAAGTACTTCTGCAATAGAATGACAGCGGAAAGATAAAGAGAGATAACAAAAAGAGAAAACATACTAAGAGCCAAAAAGGACAAAGGAAATGGCTTCTTTGTCATGTTCCGTATAGCAGCATCAGATGTTTTGAAATAACCTACATGTCTATGCCCCTCTCTTATATATATATATATATATATATATATATATATATATATATATATATATATATATATATATATATATATATATATATAAAAGACTCAAATACTAACATTCCATAGTTATAATTTATTACATTGGAATCGTAATCACTATCCAATTCATCAGACCTACAAATTCAAAAAGACATCTTTTCTTTTTGAATTTGTAGGTTTGATGAATTGGATCGTGATTACGATTCCAATGTAATAAATTATAACCAAGGAATATTAGTGTTTGAGCCTTTTTATATTATATTCTTACTCTGTCCTGGATATTGAGTTCTACCTGGATTCTATCCTCTTGGGAATTGATATATATATAAAGACATTTTTATGTTTATACATTCTTTTTATAGATACAAATATTTAAGTAAATGCTCTATTTATAATAAACAGTATTAAACAACATTTACCGGCCAGAGTGTCCGAGAAATTTTCGTAGAAAATGTTCGTCCTCCGACAGGAACCGAACCTGTATCCTATACGGAATCGTCATATAGCTTGACGTGCATTTAACTGATTGTGCCACAGAGGAGCTTTCGGTTAGCAAGGTCGATTTTACTGTTTTTAATCTACAATCTTCCATGATTCTCTCACGTACATTCATATCTTCTCATGGCGTATCCAAATGTAAACAAATGACGTCACACATAACGAAATGGCCAAAGTCCGACAATTATTTTAAGACATTTTTATGTTTATACATTCTTTTTATAGATGCAAATATTTATATAAATGAATCTATAAAAAGAATGTATAAACATAAAAATGTGGCCGAATCAGTTAAATCTGCCACAGCTCTAACTTTAATATAATTTACCTATTAGAATGCACACTATGCCAGAAACAATATGTGTGAAAATCTGAATGGCCCCTTCACTACAGAATTAATAATTATCTTAATTGGATCAAGTCGGCTCCCCACAAAAGATTATTACCTGTAGAACAACATTTCTGTCCAGAAAAAAACATGGTTTTAAAAACTATGCAAAAATCCTTATAATTGAAAACATAGAAATAGACAGAAAAGATAACCTTAGAAAAATGCTAGAGGAACATGAGGACAAATAGATGCTTTGCTAGACGGCCTTAACTACAATTTTCACAACATAGAATTAATATATGACCCCATAAATCAAGCCCTATCCACATTTCTCACCCACACACGACAGACATGCTTGCAGTGGTGTTGAGGTCTCATACTTATACACCCACTCACATAAATATATGAACATAAGCACATCACACACACTCCGAAAGAACTAAAAAAGCATCCCATTCCCAACAACCAATAAAATTGTCAAAATGACCAAGGAGGTTATTTTTAAAGTTAAGGATCTCCCATCCTCTATCTTAAATAAAATATGAATGAGGCCGTTCGATCAACACAAGGACTGGCCAAAATTAACAATAAAAGCAAATGAAAACTGCAGATAAGGTCTACTTTCTTCATAAACAGTCATTCGCTCCTTTTGTTAACTGCTACTAACAAACAAACAGTTTTTTTCTCTCCTGATGATGGCCATGCTGATCGAAACTATTCGAGGAACCTAATTGAAATAATAAAAGAAAAATATTAATATACAACCCAGTGTGTTAATTTTTTAATATTTTTTATTGTTCAAAACACATACACACGCATACGCACACACACACATGTATGTATGTATGTATGCATGTATGTGTATGTGTATTGGTTGGTGGGTGTTTTTGTTTAGCAGTATATCAAGCTCTTTGGGTTGTTTTATGACGAAATCTCAATATTTTGTACGCAATTTTATTTTATTTTGCAGATAATGGTTTAGTGACACAAGTCTTACTAATTAACCTGTAATTAACAGCTGGTGGAAGAAAAAAAGAATTCATTCAAGGATATTTGCGCGTAATATGACGAAACCAACTAGATTTGGAACTTGGACTTTTTCACCAACTAACAATTCTGAGCCATTATGCAAGACAGACTACCCTCAAATCCAATATTACAGCACCTGGTATTGCCAAGCGATATCCCATCTAGGTAGTGACCAGGCTAGATGTTGCTTAATATCGGTGATCGTAAGGGAACGTGTGTCTTGATGTGATGTGATTATATATATATATATATATATATATATATATATATATATATATATATATATATATATATATATATTGTTGTGGATTCCGGGTTGAAATCCGATACGAATAAATAAAAAACGCCATGAATGAATATATGAAAATAATGTATTAACGTAATAATACAAACTGGTAAAGCAAGTTAGTAGTTCCAGGAATACGGGTTAGTAGCAATTTTGGTTTTGAAGTATCACTGTATGACTTCTTACCGAGTCTACGTGCTCGCTCACTGTGACTCCTACAACGCTGTCACCTCACCCCTCCGGTTACCTACAACCTTTTACTCTATCACTCTGGACTCGACTCTTCGGTCTTTCTCCCGGGTCTTCATGTAGCCGTAGTATATGTATATACTGGGTGAGTCCATTTGTGTAAAAAGGGGAGGACCCCTCAACATATATATATATATATATATATGACGTCACACATCATGAAATTCCGACAATTATTTTAAGATATTTTTTATGTTTATATGTTCTTTTTATGGATACAAATATTTAAATAAATGCTCTGTTTATAATAAACAGTATTAACAACATTTACCCGAATGTCCGAGAATTTTTCATAGAAAATATGCGTCCTCCGACAGGAATCGAACCTGTATCCTATAAGGAATCGTCATATAGCCTGACGTGCTTTACCGATTTAGCCACAAAGTATTTCGGTTAGCTAGGTCGATTTTATCTTCCATGAATCTCTCACGTACATTCATATCTGCTCATGGCGTATCCAAATGTAAACAAATGACGTCACACATTATGAAATGGACAAAGTCCGACAAATATTTTAAGACATTTTTTTTATGTTTATACGTTCTTTTTATAGATACAAATCACATATTTTCTATGAAAACTTCTCGGACATTCAGGCCGGTAAATGTCGTTAATACTGTTTATTATAAACAGAGCATTTACTTAAATATTTTGTTCAGGGTAAGTTATGATATATTCTGTCTTACGCATTGCCAAATGGAGATTGCAAAATCAAACAAATACAGCAATTTAAATACCCGGGAATTATTTTCACAGAGGTGGAATGTGCTGCACTAAAATCTGAAGGCATATTGGGATAGCGAAAGATGCCTACCGAAAGCTAAGCAAGTATAATGAAACAAGCATTTCGTTAGAAACAAAAGTGTACTGAACCGATGTGTAATACCAGTCCTCTTATATAGTAGTGAATGATGGACAGTCTCCTCACGGATGAAGAAGAGACTTGAAACAACACAGAAGGATGCTGAGAATATCATGGCTCGAACATGTGAAAAATGACGAAGTTTTAGAAAAAAATGTAAACGAAAAAGAAACTTATACTTAACACCACGAAGATACAGTTTAGAGAAGCAGGCTTAGAAAATTTGATACTCACATGACAGTTTTATACATACGAGGGACAAGGGAAAACAACATATAACCTACTTAGTTTGGTGTCGTTTGTTTTATGGCATATCAACCTCAATGGGTTATTTAAAGATTTTTATTGCAAGTAATATTTTTTTTCAAAGATGTATTACTGGTAATATTTTTTTTCTTTTTAAAGTCATTGCTGGTAATAAGCTTTTACAAAAAATGTATTGCTGGTATTAAAACCTATTTTTACACTTTCATAGTGTTTTAATCACTTTTTTTGGTGAGGGGGGTCTACTATTTGCTCATAGCTGGGACGCTAACAGATGCTATCACCCCGGATCAGGGTGGACCTGGAAACACCACCAATTAAGAGGTAATTCCACGCTCCTCAAAACCTGATCAGAGGCTTTGTTGTCGGACGTAGTTTATCGTGCTACCTAGGACGCGGATGTAGTTTAACGTCTTATCCATGAAGGCTTACATAGGAAGTTTTGATAAATGGATGGCGAAAGAAGGTTTAGGAAAGATAGTAAAATGAGAAAAGTTACTTAGAGCTAAAAAAGGACTGGAAAATGGGAGGTTTTAGAATAAATGGAAACAAAACAGACATTTATGCTTAACATCAAAAAGTGACAGTTGAACATAACGAGAAAAAAGAGAGCTTGGGAAATTTGATACTCACAGGATAGACTGAGTGTAGGAATGAGTGACGAAGTAAAACAACACATCACCTACCTAACGCGTTTGAATAAATGGGTAGCAGAACAAGGTTAAGGTGATACTGCGCAAAGACAACGTTTATTAGAGACTGGAAATTGCGGAGAATCAGAATCACCAACGACCTGAAGGGATACAACAACTAAAGAATGGCTTTATTCATTTATATATATATATTTTTTTTCGAATTTTCTTTGTCTTTGAACGACTGGGATGTAATCCAAATTTTCAGATTTTGTAAAAAAAAATGCTAGTTGTTATAGACTGGAGAGCTTCAGTGACCTACCGATATATTTTTTTGCCTTTATACGCATGCTCAGGGCGAAAAAATATGTATATACATGTTAATACACATTATAAATATTTTGTTGAATACATGTCTATCCGTTTATATTACGCCTGCAAGAAATTTTCTTCCAGGTCAGAAATTTGTTAAAATACAATTAAAGAAATTTAGGGAAATTAAAAATAAGAACTCAGAACAAAAAAGATGAAGAGATGAATTAAAATTGATGTTCAAGGATGGAAGAGAGGAAGAAAAAAATGCTTGGCAGGCAAAAAGAAAGAACTCAAATAAAAATATACAGCACCCGGTATTCCCAAAAGGTTACCCATATAGGTACTGATCAGGATCAACGTTGCTTAACTTTGGTGATAAGAACGAAAGAAAGAAAGAAAGATCAACAAGAAATGATATGTGGTTAGGAAAAAAAGAATAGGATACAGAAACATTTAAAAATAAAAAAAGATTCTGCTTGAAGAAAGAAAGAAAGAAAGAAAGAAAGAAAGAAAGAAAGAAATATAGTAAAGAAAGAAAGAAGGAATGAAGGAAAGAAAGAAGAAATAAAATAAAAAGAAGAAAAGAAAGAAAGACAGAAGGAAAGAAAGAAAGAAGATTTGAAAATACAAAAGTTTCTGCTTGGAGAAAGAAAGAAAGAAAGAAAGAAAGAAAGAAAGAAAGAAAGAAAGAAATATAGTAAAGAAAGAAAGAAGGAATGAAGAAAAGAAAGAAGGAATGAAGGAAAGAAAGAAGGAAAGAAGAAATAAAATAAAAAGAAGAAATGAAAGAAAAACAGAAGGAAAGAAAGAAAGTGGATTTGAAAATAAAAAAGGTTCTGCTTGGAGAAAGAAAGAAAGAAAGAAAGAAAGAAAGAAAGGATGAATGACAAAGGCATCAAAGAAGGAAGAAGTAAAGAATGAAGAAAGAAAATGGAAAGAAAGAGAGTACGGTGAAAAAGCGTATAAGCGTTAGTAAGAGGGTGAGTAGGAGAATGAGTTGAAACTTTGGAGGCTGGGAAATTTTATGTCTCCACCCAGACAGGTGACCGCTTTTATTAGAATTTTATAATAAGACAGCACGTGAGATCTAATCAGAACGAGGCATTTAATTTGAATCTCCGGTTGCTGAAGAAGGCACCCCTTAGCGCTTAATGCCAATCAACCACGCCCACTGACACTCTCACAATAGCGTGACCAGAATTTCGGTAAAGCAGGCCGGACTTCATTTCAAGCTGAACAGTTACTGGCGTCTTCTTGGAGAACCAACCCTCAAAATACTTGACAGATCGATACATCGGAATCAGATGCAGGGGCAGGCAACAATAAGACATTTTCAATTTTAATGCGCTAAAACCCATGGGAAATTTTACATTTTTTTTTACGAAGAAATAGTGGGACTAATGTAAATAAAAGGCATATTATGTTATTTTATTAAATCATATCATGGATTTAAATGACATCTTTGAGGACATTTGAGATTTGCTTTCGTAAATTTTGGCGAATTCCATTAAAAACTCCACGGGAATGAAAATGATTGATTAGGCTCCTTTGAGAGCAACCATATTTTTTCCGCAATAAAATCAATACTATGAATTACAAACACCATTGAAAAAAAGACCGGGCATATATATATATATATATATATATATATATATATATATATATATATATATATATATATACACAGTATCCATAAAGTCTGTGTACCGTTTAAAATACTTGTAGATTTCTAATTATACATGAGAGAAACAATTTGTAAGAACTAATAAGGATTAGAAATAAGTATTTAACCCTTTGCCTGTCCAGGGAATTTTCATGTGTACTATCTAAACATTGATGTTTGTTTTCAGGTTTATAACTATCACAAGGTACCTGAACTTTCATAGTGTTTTGCTTTTGTTTGGGAGTTCGCTATCCATCCATAGCTTGCACCCTAACAGGAGCTACCATTCCGGGTCAGGGTGGAATTGGGAACAACTGCTTTTAAGAGGTAATTCCACGCTCCTCAAATCCTCCAATCTCTCGATCAGAGGCCTTGCTTCTAGATGTAGTTTATCGTCGTACCCAGGACTAGTCGTGGTTTGTAGATGAATGCTCCATTTTTCCATAGGTATCATTACCGTTTTTTATCCCTTTCTTCTCAAGAAAGTGTCGGTAGCGATTGGAATCTTTGATTGTTAGTAGAGGGCAAAATTTTTAACCTTTTGTCTAATTCTCTTGTAGTTTTCTTAGAAGTTTCCTAAACTACGGTTTTGCAAGGTGTAATATTGGTATAACTTGGCTATTCAAATCGAGGGCAATCTGCGAGATAAAAATATCACAATTGAAAATGGTCAAGCCATCGTTGGCATGTCCGGACACTTAGGGCTTAACGATCATTGAAAGAATTAATATTTCTTGTCGCTTCCTGTCGCTGAAGAATATTTTCAGATTCGTGCAGTATACAATGCCTAATATTGGTATGATTTAAACGCATTTTCAAAAAAGTTAAACTTGATAAAAAACATTTGGCGAAATCGAACCTTTCGAAGTACTGACTGCGGGGGCGACCAACTTCCTGTTGTATGCTACCTGAGAAAAATACGAAAATTAAAACTTGGGCACTTTTATGTGTACTATGGAAACGTTCATACTTCTTTTCAGATTTATAAATATTGCGAAGCAACTGAGCTTATTTGGTAAATAGAATAATGTTTTACATCATAAAAAAATTGTGCATTATATGTAATGCACAGAACCTACAAATCATAAGTTATTTATACTAAGCTCTGTGCATCACACGTTGTTGCATACTCCGTCTCTACTGGGGAGATCTTGACCACTGCACCAAATAAGCAAACTGTTGTATAGCCCCATCGTTCTGGGGATCTCTTTCCTGACGGTCTTGAGGCGATCATAATAAAGATGTCTTCCTCTCTTTCTTCTCTCGGCCGACAGTTGGTTTTTAGTTCGGAGGTAAACTGAGAACTTCAACAAAAGGGATTTTAAACTTATCTATTTTATTAAACACGTTGAAATGTACATTTTTAAGTGTTGGGATGTTGAGTGCTTCCCCGTGCGTGTATTGAAATAAGGACAAACACATACGTAGGAAAAAATACTGGTATATCTGAAGAGGTATTTACAACAGAGAGATTAGTATTCAAACGAACGCAGGTTAGTCAGTAACAATCAGAAAGAGTATAAAGTCCAACTGTATCTTCCGGTAGAGAGACAGAAGTGTGATGGTCACCTGATCTCCTATAGAACTGTCCTATTAGTAGTAGAGAGATCAGCCCATTCTGATGAGAAGGTGGGTGGCCCCAACATTAAGTAGCCAGTGGGGTTGTTTATCACGTCCCCGCCCCACTGGAGAAGCAATTTCCATACACGAACATACACGTCTACATACTTTCACGTGTATAACTTCCTGAAATCACTCTCTATCATTCCCGCGTTCGGCTCATCCAGTCAAAATCGACATCGCTATTTTGTCTACTATCTGACCTTAAAGGTCAGCTTCAGAAGATCTGAGCCTAAATAGACTTCTAGTAAGACATAATAGTTTAATAATGTGATGCACGGGTCTTTATTATGAGAAATACTATATATCAGCACAATTTATTTGCCAAATCAGCTGAGATACCTTGCAATAGTCATAAATCTGAAAACAAGCATGCATCCTGTGGTCAATAACGATGCACAAAATATTAGATTAGGCATTTTTCTCAGATGGTCTTCTCAGTAGTAGGTTATATTCTTAAGCGTCCTTAGTTTTACGACTCTTTTAAAATCATGGCTCGTGTGCATCACATATGATGCATGGACGTGCAAATCACGTGTCCTTTGCATCACACATAATACGCAGGACAGGCAAAGTGTTAAATTTATTAATTACTAGCAGTATGGCCCGGCGTTGCCCGTACTTGATTCAAAAATCGTACAACTCATACAGCAATCGCTATCACAAGACTTAAAATATTTTTGCCCTTCCTTGCCTTTAAAGGAGTGCCCTTTGCCGTGCTGATGTTGCTACATGCCTTACTTCTTGCCTATCACACACTGCGAATTTTTCTAAGCTCTATACTAAACATAAAATCTGTTACGAAAAAAGAACTAAACAAAATGAATACAAAACGATCAGTTTTAAAAAAAGACTCGTAACTGGAAAAACCGAATGAAAAAAGAATGTTAACAACAAATACTTTTTCACACCCAACTCAGTTCTGCGGAATCAGAATCAACGTTGAATTTAAGCAAGCGAATGAGCCAATTGGAGTAAAGTGCTATGCAGATTTAAATTTCTCCTACCCGTGACAAATGCAGCTATCATTTTTCCTTTGCATGTTAGCATGCTAGTTAACATTCGTGTCAGTCAGCTGTTGGTTCTCACGCTGGCCAATACAATCTTCCTGCCTATTCGTGGCAACCGGCTATAGGCTCTCACTATGGCCAGTACAAAATGGCCGCAAACTACATGAAAACTGCCGTAGAAGCATGAAAAAAAATCGATTTTTTCCACTATCGATTGGAGTTGGGAAATGCAAAGTCGGTCTTTCCCTTGCCGCTAACTTGGAGCATGTGCATGTAAATTTTGGTGCAAATCCGTCGAAAATTGCGGCCGTGCATTCGTTACACACACACACACACACATCCTGCGTTTTATAGATAGAGATTAGGGTTGTTCATTTTCAACATATACACCATCATTACGCATACAAGGGGTAATACAATTTTGTAATTCTCTGAAAACATTTTGCAGCTGAATTCAGTAATACCTTCAAACACATCAATTATCCCAGCTTGCAGTTCCTCTAAAGATCGAGGCTTTTTTACATGTCCCCATCACAAGATTTCAAATGGAGCACGATCCGATGATTGCAGTTTCAACATAATTGTCTCCCTTTTCCAATCCACTTATTAGGGGTTTGTTTTTGTTCATTTACAAACTGCCTGCTATGTAGAACAAAGTGGCACGGTGCACGATCATATTGAAACACTGTGTTGTTTGTCAGGTGTACTTTGTTAGCCTTAGGAATGAACACATTTTGCGGCATTTTTAAATAGCGATCACCATTAATAACAAAATTCTGCAAAAATACTTCAAGAAATTCTGATGTTTCAAGAAATTGAAAAAATAAGTGCATAAGAAATATATTTTTGAAGACAAACAAAAACTAGAAATATCCAGCTTTCTTTGGTATCTGTCTATATTATGAGTTCAGGTATTCTGTATACTATTTACATTTATTCGGACTATTGTCCTCATCTTTGTTGCCATATCTATTACAACGTTTCGGTATTGAACTCACTCTCTTTGGGTCCTGTCACTGGATCTAACTAACACCTTTATCCACTGTGCCATGTGTCCTTAAAGACATGGCAATATCTGTTTAAGGCGGGGGAGAACTTCGGGAGGGGAATTAAAAGGAGATAACTGATAACTAACGTCCATTAGACATGGAACTAGAACAGTCTACACCAGTGAACGAAATAAAGTGTTCAGTTCAAGATTCCAACCACGTGAAGAAAGTCTATTCTATCAGAATTAGTTTGGTTTCTTTTTTATGTATTTACAAAAGAAACTAAATGAATTCATCTGGACTACATACCCAAAACATAATTAAAAAAAAAATTCTAAGTGTCCTCTCTCCTTCGTACACATGTGCAGTCGCATCAACGTAGACATCGTTTAAGTCTGATGAAGTCCTATATATATATATATATATATATATATATATATATATATATATATATATATATATATATATATTTTTTACTTTTTTTTATTTTTGCTAAAAAAAATACATATGCTCTGTTATAATAAATACAGCGAGCTCTGTGGATCAGTTTTAACAATTAATATTACTAAGATCTACACGGATTTATACCAACGGATCGATTGCCTGTACTATAT